CACCACCACGGAGCCTGAACGCGGAGTTGCAGACACGGGCAGTGAGTCTAGCAAGCTTTCAAATGAGGAGAGGTGCTAGAAAGGAGGATAGCCCAGGTCCCTAGCAAGATAAAGCAGGGGTAGAGAGGGAGGCTCAGGAACACCCCCCTCCCCCCACCGCTCCAACACACCCTGTCACTTAAGAAAAAAATCCTAATGAGGTTGAGAGGGAGAAGGGAAATAGCGCTAAATAGCTGGCGAGGTGACCCACCGTCCTGTTTGCTCCTTGGCGCTCGCCGAGGGGAGTAACAGCCACAGCAGTGACAACGGCGTTGAAATGTGCCAAGTGCAACCTCTGCCCAGTGCTCTCTGCCTCCCAAAAAGGAAAGAAAAGCATGCCTCAGACAGAACACAACGGGAACGAGCAGGCGCCATCGTCAAGTCACGGACCCCATCCGCACCGGCTGGTCTCTGAAAGCCCCGTATCAAGGGTCCCATTCAAAGGCAACGAAGAGGCAGAGACAATGGCAAATCAAAAACTGGCAGGGCTTCCAGAATAATTTAACTCCTCACTCCAGAATTTAGATGGGTAGAGCAAGACACCCAGGCGAGAGCTCCTTCACACCAAGGCGCGAGCATATGCCTGCCTCTCTGTGGATGTATTTTTAGACATAATATCAGGGGTAAGGCAGCCCGTGCAGTCCTCAGTCAATAGCATCCGCTTCTCTTGTTCACTCTGAGACTAGCTGACGATCACAGGAGGCAGCCCACATTTCTCCCAAGCCCAAGGTCAGCGAGGAGCACCCCAAACCCTAACCCATTGTCTCCGAGCACAGAGAGAGCATTAAATACGTTTTCAAGATGTGTTCCCGAAATGAGGTCACGTCTTGTGGCAATTTGCTCACTTCCCACCTTTCCACAAATGACTTAATTCTACCATCCAAAATCACAACCAGGACAAGAAATCACACCTTGACAAAGACGATTCAAACACCATAGACTAAGGATTAAAAATATATATATATTTAGCAGGAGGACATGTGTTATTAGTAACATGCACTAAACTTCTAAACTTCTCCAAACAACATGTTTATTAAAAGCAAGGGATGGATGGCATTTTATATCCTTTAGATGTGCTTTACGTTTGAGTATTCCTCCCATTCACCTGAAGCTTCAAATATTTCAAATAATAAACACAAGAGGGGCGCCTGGGTGGCTCAGATGGTTAAGCGTCTGCCTTCAGCTCAGGTCATGATCCCAGGGTCCTGGGATCGAGCCCCACATCGGGCTTCTGGCTCAGCGAGGAGCCTGCTTCTCCCTCTGCCTCTGCCTCTCTCCCTGCTCATGCTTTCTCTCTCTCTCTCTCTGTATCTCTGTGTCTCAAATGAATAAATAAAATCTTTAAAAATAAATAAATAAACACAAGAGAAAAATAGGATAAGCAGAAAGTAAAGGCAACATCCTCCGCCTTCGTGAACAAATCAAATACCATGTAGTATGCACTTCCCCAAGCCTAGGAATTTTCTCCCACATGGAGGATTAAAATATTTAAACATGTTCCTTTAAATCTTTCATATTAGAGTACACTTATTAAATATGTATGTGCACATATCTACACATATACAAAATTCTCAAGTTAATTTAAATTTATGGGAGAAATCCAAGGGATACCAGGGCAAACAATCCAAAAAAAAAAAAAACAAAACACCAGCCATAAAAAACAATCTCTAACCACACACCATCTCTCTAAAGTTTCACACAGCACTAGAACGAGACGGACAGACGCGACAGTGCTGAATGAAAACAATGTTTCACAACCATGATATTCCAAATGAAATTACTGAAAATGAAAAGCAAAATGCCCACTGGCATATTTTTGAGTCAGAATTTGTTTCTGTCAGAACTGGGTTTTTTTTTTTTTTTTCAATGTCATATATATGTAATCTGTAAATGTGAATTACAACATGGATGATTTCCAACTCCACAAATAAGCATTCTGAGTTTTGATTTGCCTTTTAAGAGTAGAAACAGTTTATAATTTCACATTGTAAATCTCACTAGGACTGAATGCTCTTACAAGGACTGACAGAGAAAGAATAATTCATGTCGGACCAAAAGGCTGCTTTCAGTCGGCTTCACGCAGCCTTTTTTCCAACAGCTCTGGGCCAAAACGCATGTGGAATCTTGAGCTGAACTATCCATCACATTTCCCTAGCCTTTCAATTAATGACACTGCAATCAGATCGATAGAATGTAATAAGAAAAGAGCTTTGCATTTCTATACCTATTAATTCGTTGAGTAACTCCAGCAGTAAAACGTGACTTGAAAGAAAAAACACTCGAGGAAAATGAAGTCTCTTAGCATATTGAGCAATGACACCCCGACCCAAAAGTGAACACTGGAGTTTCTACCTTCCAGACAAGTTTAGTAGGACCCAAATATCAGATTGTTCGTCAGGAGCAAACGGACTCTTTTTTTTCACCAGATTCTCTGTAGTATATACTCACACCACCACAGGTCTTGTCACTTCTGTCAGTTTGGGGAATTTTGGAACAAATATCCTTGAAATGCGAGTCAGAGAATAGGTTGGGGCGGCCATTGCTCCGCACCGCCAAATTAGTGATCTTAGTTTTTCTAGGGCATTCTGCATAGAGGAATTGGTTTTGGAAAGAGTAGGACAGGGGAAGAATGATCAGAAGGCTAATGGAGCTCGGCCCCATCCCAAGTCACTGCCTTGGTCTGAGACCATGTGAACAGTGACAGAGAACAACATGACAGGGTCTGCACTTTCCATGGTCATCAGCAGTGACAGAGGGCTGGGCAAGCGAAGTAGGAGTTCTCTGTGGGAGGGACGAGGCAAAAAAAAAAAAAAAAAAAAAAAAAAAAGGCTGTCCTCCGATGTCTTCTAGAATCATGTGCACGTCCAGACCTTAATGTCACTAGAGGTGAACCAACAGTGACTTCATGAACTCAGAAGCAGAGAGAAGAGGGGCGGTTGTTAGGAGCAGGGGAATGGGGGAAATGGGGGGATATGATACAAACTTCCAGTTATAAGATGAGTAAGTTCTGAGGATCAAATGTATAGCAGGTGACTATGGTTAAGGAGACTGTATTGTACACTTGAAATTTGCTAAGAGAGTAGACCAAAGTGTTCTTAACACACACACACACACACACAAATGGTATGTGAGGTGGTGGATGTATTAATTACCTTGATTGTAGTAAACTTTCATATATCAAATCACCACATTTTACACCTTAAATATATATAATTTTTATTTGCCGATTATACCTCATAAAGTTGGGGGAAAAAACCCAGTAATTTCAGTCCTAAGAAGTAGACTCTACTAAATGAAGGTTCCAATATGGTTCAATCAACCACTGGTATAGTAAAAAGACCGTAGGTTTTTCTACCAAACCAACTAGAGTCTGAATATCAACTGTATCATATACCCGTTAGCATCTTTGAACCTCAGGTTTGTGTTAGTAAAATATAGATACTACTGCTTAACTCAAAGGCTACTCTGAGGTTGAATGACATCATGTGTGTAAAGTACATGCACATACTAGCTAAACCTTTCTCTTCCCAATTTTCAGATTCCTGCATATAAAATAGCAATAAAAATACAGGTTTATTGTACAGACTAAATGAGA